TGCAGTAGAGAGAGAATTGAATGTTCGTTGTACTTTGTTTCCAGTGTCTTTGTAGTTCTGAAAATTTTCAAAATAAAAAGTCGGGGGGAAAAAATAAAGAGAGATTAAAGTAAATACTGTATTTCCTAAAATTGAGAGTATCTGTACTGTGGACCAAACCTTGAGTACTTGTAGTAGTTATCTGTTCAAATACTTGGTCAGTCACCAGATACTGACAAAAGCAGTTTTGGATCTTTAAATTTGGTTTTCCAGATGGGTGTTCTAGGTGGTTAGCGACATCAAGGGTGCCATTTTGAATTTAATAATCATGGACATATCTTTTAAAATGTTAATTATGAAACTTTAAAGGAAAGGTAAACTGAAATTCTAAATGATTTACAGCAGGTCCTGGAACAATGTTGTTCTGTTAAAACGTTAATGAGATGCCGTAGGAAGTCCTCTTGTTTGTCAGTTAGCCTATAGTAAAATTGGGTTCCTTATACAGTGTTTTGCTTAATGTTGCAGAGCCCATTGGTGACGTTAAGTGAAAACTACTGTACTAGTTCATAAAGGCTTCCTCTAAAGTTAAGAAAAAAGATTTATAGGACAGTGAGAAGTTAGAATCGCTTGTTAGTATTTAACTGTCTCTCTCAGTGGGCTTAAGCTTTAAATTAAGCTTAGTCAGATAAATAGCAACCTGCCCATTTTTTTTCCTGGGGGAAGACAAAGGATGAAACATGTCACCCTAAGCGTATGGTTCCGATTACTTCCTAAGGTGAGTTAGCGGGCAAATGCTGGGAGATGAGCAAAGACTGTGACATTCATTTTCAGTTTAGGAGGAAAAAGGAGAAATATTGCCAGTACCTTTTATAACCCAAAGTGATCGAACATTCATTCAGTAATTAGTGATCCTCAGCTCTGGATACTTAACAACGAAGGTTTGGTTTTATTGTTTCAGAAAACATTGTTTCCTGCATGGTAATCACTTAAAGTTGCTACAAATTCCTCTATGGAACATGGCTTTTATATAGTTTTTATTTTGCCTTTTGATGAAAAAATGTACCCTTCACCTCTGTGCCTGTACTTTTGGGTTCTTAATCATATAGTTTTTATAATGATATCTATATTCACTGTTAATACCTTTTTTAATGGACTCCTCTGACTTCTAATAAAGACTGATTTTAGGTCAGCTGTCATACTATTTCTTTCCATTGTACTCCAGGGATAATCCTACTTTTTCTTATGTACCATTTTTTAAAACCCATGTGTTTTTATTTCTGGAACAGATTTTGCAGAAATTGTTTCAGACCTGGAAAATTTTTCATGGAAAACATGTGGTGGTACATGTGGAGAATGCCTTTACGTTGTACTCCCACTCAGATGTTCTCCTTCCTTGGCATGCAGTCCTTTCCAATTGAAGGCTTGAGGTTCAGCCTAGGGCAGTTTTTACGTATATTTCTTTTTTCCCCATTCTCCTTTCTTTTCCTTCTTGCACACTCATTGGATGATATATGAGGATCACTATCCACAGCAAACCTTACTGACCCTGGATTGGACAGATAGTTTACCTTCACTATTTGGTGAAGAAAGATGAAGTTGGCACCACAGGACTGGTGGTTCAATGATAGGTTCTTCTCTTACTTCCATCCTGAGAAGATGTGGCTTTTGTTCCATTACAAGGTAGCTGCTGTACCTCCAGGCATCCCAAAAGCATTCCAAGCAGGAAGAAGAGGGAAGGATAGAGGGACAGAGGGGCATGCCAGACATGCTTATCTCCTTAAAAAACTCTTTCTGGAAACCTTCTTCATTCCACTTACATGTCATTGGCCAGAACTGAATTTCATGGCCCCTTCACCTGCAGGAGTTGTGGATGTGTATGTTTTAGTTGGCACAGTGCCCTCATGAACAGAGCAGGATTCTGTTCTGATTGAAGAGGGGGGGAGAATAAATAGTGGCTAGATAATTACAATATTGTTATAGATGAGCAGTATTAGGTTTCTTGGGCCTTTCTCTCACTTCTCTTCACATACTGTCTGGTATTCTCTCTTTTTGTCTTTCTGCTTTGTTCCAGAAAATTTCATTGATTTTCCTTCCTAGATCTATCTGCAGACATGTCCATTATTTAATATGTATTTGCACCTCAGTTTTTAGCAGCTCATCTTGTTTTCTACTTTCTTTTTCTTCAAATCTTATTTTTTTTATATATTTTATTGTGGTAAATTTATGTAACAAAATTTAGTATTTTGATCATTTTTAAGTGCGCAGTTCAGTGGCATTAACTACATTCATATTGTGTACTTAACCATCACTACCATCCATCCATCCATCCCCAGAACTCTTCATCTTCCCAAACGGAAACCCTGTACCTGTTAAACAATAACTCCTCATTCCGCCCCCCCCACCCCCACCCCCGTGCCAGGTAACTACTATTCTCCTTTTTGTGCCTGTGAATTTGACTAGTGTAGTTACTTCCTGTAATATTTTTCCTTTTGTGTCTGGCTTATTTCAGTTAGCCTAATGTTTTTTAAGTTCATCCATGTTGTAGCACTTGTCAGAATTTTCTTCCTGAATAATATTTTGTGTATGTTTATACCACATTTTGTTTATTCATGCGTCTATGGACACTTGAGTTGCTTCTACCTTTTTTGGCTTTGTAAATAAACTGCTATGAACATGGGTGTACAAATATCTGTTAGATTCTCTATTTTTAATTCTTTTGGTTATATGCCCAGAAGTAGAATTGCTGTATCACATGGCAATTCTCTATTTAATTTTCTGAGGAATTGCCATGTTTTCCATAGTGGCTGCACCATTTTACATTCCCACAAGCAATGCATAAAGGTCCCAGTTTCTCCACATCCTCACCAACATTTGTTATTTTATGTGCTTTTGATAATAGCCATTCCCAGGAGGTATGAAGTGATCTCTTGTGATTTTGATTTGCGTTTCCATGATGAGTAGTGATGTTGAACATCTTTTCATGTGTCTATCTTCTTTGGAGATATGTCTATTCAAGTTCTTTGCCCATTTTTGAATTGGGTTGCTTTTTTTTGTTGTTGTTGAATTGTAGAAATTCTTTTTATTCTGGATATTAACCCTGCATCTGTATTTACAAATATTTTGTCCCATCCCATGAGTTGCCTTTTTACTGAGCTGATAGTTTCCTTTGACACACAAAAGTTTTTAATTTTGATAAAGTCCAAGTTGTCTATTTTTTCTTTAGTTGTCTGTACTTTTAGTGTCACATCCAAAAAAATCATTGCCAAGTCCAATGTCATGAAGGTTTTCCCTGTTTTTCCCCCTAAGTACTTTATAGTTTTAGCTGTTACATTTAGGCCTTCATTCATTGTGAGTTAATTTTCATGTATGGTATTTTGTATATGATAGCACTTAGATTAGTTTATTTCAGGTTTAAATTGGTGATACTCTGATTTTATCATTCCTTTATTTGTAGCTGCGGTAATCTAAACTGAGAAACGTCTCTTCCATCTGTCCTTTGTTATTCAGTGAGTGGCTATTCACTAGAAAGGGCAGGATAAATGCTTTATTCTCTCCCGTTATTTAAGGTTTCAAAATAGGGAGTTTGTTCTTTAGTCTGTTCCTATCATGGCCAAGTAATTTTTGCTTTTGTGTTTGATTTTATGTCATGTCCTCGTGATTTAAGTATATTTGGCATGTTCTAATCTATTATAGTTATTTTATTGATGCTTAAATTGTCCTATAATAGTTTGTGGGAGCCTCTTTAAGTTAGCCCTTGAGTCTTTTAACAAGACCCTGGTTGTCTTTTTCTTTAATCCTCTCCTGAGGATATGTTTTTCATTGAATTTAGAAAGAAGAGGGAGAAAATGAGAGAGGGAGAGGCACCCATGTGAGAGAGAAACATCAGTTGGTTGCTCCCATACTCACACCGACACTGGGCCAGAGATCTAAACCAAAACCTGAGTATGTGCCCTGAATGGGAATTGAACCCGCTACCTTTCATGTCCAGGACAACACTCCAAGCAACTGAGCCTCCCAGCCAAGGTGACCCTGGTGGTCTTTGATAACTTTCTTGCAGTCTGGAACAATTAAATGTTCTTCCGTCATATGGTATATGTCTAATCTGAAACCTAGAATAACTAATTCTTCAAGCATATGGTATTTGGAAATGACTATTACTTTTTTACTTTGAAATTTAAAAATATTTTACAGTAGCCTATTAAGCATACTTATTTAGTCTTTTAAATTGTTTCCTTTAGTTTTGGGGATGTGAATTTTCTTACTTGGTTTGCCTCTTCCACAGTGATTTTTTTCTTTTTTACTTTTTAGTTCAGGTATGTATTAAAGCAAATTTTTGTTTTTGCTTTCATAAAAATTTTGTTGTCTTAATTTGTTTGGAGTGAGAGGATGATTTCTTGTATTAATTAAATCACCATATTGAGTCAAGTGCCTTTGTTGCTATTCCATTTAGGGATCAGCATGTTCTTAGAATGTCAGAAATGACCTCATCGGTGGCAAAAGTGAAAACTACTTACTCTCCTAGTGTTTATATTTTCTGTGGATGCTTTCGTTTGCTTTTTATTGGTAACCTTAATATATTACAGCTAAGGTCAGTTTTGCTTCTGAATATTTGACACATTTCAATCTATAATTTGGTTAGTATTAAAAAACAATGGAATCTTTTCCCCCCTTTTCTAATACTTCACCATTTTTAGCTTGGAAGCAGAGAGGAAAAGGCAGAAAGGTCACCGTGGAATTGTGCAGATTTGTAGGGGCTAAAATTAACGGTGCCAAGTAAAGAAGCGTCATCTGTCACAAGACTCCTCCTACCTCATGTGTTAATGTGGGTGGATCATCTGAATTCCGTTGAATTTCTTTTTTTCCTGTGTGGCTGTGAGGGGCATAGATGTCATGGTTGTAGTTTAATAAAATTTGCCAGGCAGCAAACTCTAGTGCTTTTAGAAAGAAAAAAAGACAGTGAGAACTTGGGCAAACAGGTCTTGCTAAGCCCTAAAATATATCACTTTTATTCATCCATACAGAAAACAAGCATGAGGCCAAGAGGAGGCGCACAGAGAGAGTTAGGAGAGAGAAGATTAATTCTACAGGAAATAAGGATTTAGAAAACAGAAAGAGGTCTCGAAGTAACAGCCATTCAGATCATATCAGACGAGGAAGAGGAAGACCTAAAAGTGCATCTGCCAAAAAACATGAGGAAGAAAGAGGTATGAATAAATCCAAGCAGTGTGTTTCCAAGTCCTGCATTCTCTGAGGTCTTAATTAGAGGACAGCAAAGAAAGTGTTTGGCAAGCATTGAACTCCTGGACTTACATCACTACTCATATTTTAGTTTGAAAGCATTTCCTCTAAGGTAGATGATTGTTAAAAAAACAAACAAATTTAACTCTTACTGAAAAACTAAAGGCTTAAATTAGGTAACATTCACCTTGCTATAAATTGATGATAGTAGAGTTCAGAGATAAATAATGTGTATGTGACATCCTGGAGAAGCCTTTTCAAGCAGTTGTACTTTTTTGTACTCTTTTTTTTTTTTTAAAGATAAATCTAGGTTCTGTTAACACTTATTTCAACTGTTATACTACGCATTTTAAAAATTTACTATTGAAAGTATTCTTCAGTATGAATTTTTAAATTGCTCATTGTGTGCCTCCCTATTTTCAGGCAGCTGTTGGATAGTTAGGTGAATCCTTGATCCAAAACATATGTATATTTCTCCTTACAGATCTCCTTTTTTCAGATAAATAGTGTGTCTACCAGTAACTTGTGGGTTTTTTTTTTAATTAAAAAAAAAATTATTGATTTGGGAGAAAGAGAGAGAGGCATCAATTTGCTGTTCCACGTATTCATGCGTTCATTGGTTGATCCTTGTATGTGCCCTGATGGGGGATCAAACCTACAACCTTGGTGTATGGAATGATACCCAAACCAGCTGACGTGTTTTTAACCATTAACTAAAATGAGCTTCCCTTTTTCTCTGATTTATACTACTTTTAAAAAAACCTTTTTATCATGGAAAATGTCAGTGATTACACAAGAGTAGAGAGAATAGTGTAGTGAATCCCCATATGCCCATAACTATCTTTTTTTAAATTGAGGTTTTCAAGCTAGTAGGTTAATGGAAAAAAGGGATAGTTGCTCTTTATAATTCTTTAAAAACCTCTCAAAATAATTTCATCTTCAGTGAAATGTCTTTATAATTTCTTATGTTATTTGTGAGTTATGTGCTACTTTTTCAGGTGTTCATTCTTAGGTATGCAAGTATTCAAGCATAAGTGTGTATCTCAATTTTTGTCAAAGTAAAGATTTAATATTGTGTGGCTAAAACAATAAGATTTATATTGTGTTTGACTGTATTCTACGAAGACTGTACTTAGATATCATTAATTCCTTGGGTAATTTTATTGCTTTTTCTCTTTCCTTCTGTTACTCTCTTCCAGAGAGTTTGAGTTACTTCCTCAATTTGAATGTGTTGCTTTAACAGTGGGATGATCAGAAAAATCTGTGCTAAAGACTGTTTCAGAAGGGAAACTAGGTAAAGAAAAGTCAACAGAAAAAAGAAGAGAGGAAAATACTGCTTGGCCTAGAAAACAGAACATTCTTTTCAGTTGAAGTAAAGGGAATATAACCAAAGAATGGAGAAGGAATGCTTCCGGTGGAGGGTGAGAGGAGCGGAGAGAACAGACAGTGACAGTCTTGGTCAGGGAATGGAGTCCGTATTGTACTTGTACTCTGTGTATGCAGGTTTGAACTTTTATTTCAGGTGAACTTGAAGAAAGAAGCATTTATTTGGCTATACATTTTTTCCAGCTTATTAGAAAAAAGTTTTAGGAAAGTTATTTCTAGAGTAAAATATGTTTTAATTTATTTGCTTTTAATACAAACAGGAAAAGTGCTCAAAGGAACTTTTGTAGAATAAACAAATCTTTTAATGTAGACCCGGGGGTGAGGGGTATGATCAGCAATCTTTTTCTGTAAAGAGCCAGCTATATATTTTCAGCTTTGTGGGCCATGCAGTCTCTGTCACAGCTACTCTGCTCTGTCATTGTAGCTGGAAAACAGCCACAGACAGTATGTAAATGAATGGGCATGGCTGTCTTCCAGTTAGACTTTATAAAAACAGGTGATGGGCCAGATTTGGCCCCTAGGCTGTATTTTGCTAACTCTTGAGACAGACCCAAGTTCTCTAAATATAATAGAGAGGAAATACGACTTTTGAACTATCTGTATATTTTAGACTTCTTTGATATGCTTCTTAGTGTTAAGTAGCTATTTAATTTAGTTTTTATTGACTCGTTGCTCATAGGGCACTTGAAAAAGTTGAAGTAAGGTTTACCATTATTTTAATAAGGACAACCTGACTGTGTCTAAAAACACATTTTAAATTGACTTTCTTGTTTTCTATATTTTGAAAAAGAATAGGAAGAAGAAAGAATAGAAAACAAAAGCTTGTTAGGCAACTAGATAACAATGTATCTTTATAAAATCATAAAAACAAACCATTGAACTTAACAATTTTTGGTTGGTTTAAGATAAGTCTTCATTTTATATGTGGGGAGTCTGATTACTCTAGATATTAGTAATGTAGTGACATTTTTTACTAAAATATATTGGGCAATTCTGAATATCTTATTAATGAACATATAGAATTCCTGTAGGCTTCATGTTAAAGATGGTGGCTTGAATAAACACATTTAGCTTTACACCCTCCCCAAGTCCTAGTAAAAGGGTATTTTCTAAAACAGTAAAATCCTACAAGGACAAGGAATGGGAGAAACAGCAAAATTCTAGAAAATGATAACTGCTTTAGCACACCTATGAAACCTAAATTGTAAGCTCCTTTGGGGAAAGCTAAGAAAGAAACTGATACTTATTACACAACTGCCTTCAGATGAGGAATTTGTGCGTCAGTCATGTCCTGTTAAGGCTGTTTCCCTCGTCATCCCCTCTCTCCAGGTTTATTCTTTGAAAAAAATTGAACCAAAGAGAGTCTCCGGTCTAGGCAACACCAGGCTTCATTGAGGGCAGGGGTACTATAATAAGATCAGGAAGACTAGGTAAAATTTGGAGATGGTAAATATTGATTCTACAGGTCAGGCTTATATCTTCCAGGTAAGAGATTAGAACTTTCTTCTCTTGGGATACTGAAGAGCCCAAGAGAAAAGGCCTAAAATAAAGATATTTTCATTAAGGATCGCACAAAGAAATCGCCCAGTCAGATCATCCTAAAGTGATGACCACAGTCAGGCTCCACATGTGTTGCAGGAGCTAATCATCTTTTTTGGTACCACTCCTAAAAATGAGCATATTACTAAGAATTACCCAGCTATATGGAAGAAAGCATCTAGTATGAAAGGCTAAGACCAAATCAACAAGGAAAGAAAAACCCTCGATAAAACTCATTTTTCCAGGAAGAAGAAAAAATTAAGACTATCATAAATATTCTTAGTAAAATTGTAGTCATAAAACTAGAACAAGATGATATTTAAAAGGAAATTGCAGATGTCAAAAAATACCTGGAAAATGAACTTTAAAGTATGAACGTTATGATTTGCAGAAATGAGAAACCACAACAGAAGGCTTATAAACAAAATTGAGGAAATGTACCAGAATGTAGAGCAATAGGAAAGAGATGAAAAAATAGAATGGGAAAGATAAGAAATTCAGAGGACCAGTTTGAAGTCAAAATCTATAAGTAATTGACATTACAGAAAAAGAACATAGAAGATGGGAGAAGGAAGTCATCAGTGAAATAATTCAAGTTTTCCCAAACCTGAAGAACTTTGAGTTTCCATATTGAAGTGGCCCACCAAATTCCCAGTAGATGATTAAAAGTAGAGTTCTGCCAAAGCATATTATCATAAATCACATCTCTTTGGTTAAAGGGAATCCTTCAAGTGTTCAGAGAAAAAAGACAAAGGAATGAAAATGGTATTAGAATTAATACAGTGGAACAAACTATTCATATATGAACAGCATCAATGAATTTCGAGAACATGTTAAACAAAAGAAGCTAGACACGAAACAGTACATCCTATATGATGCCATTTATATGAAGTTCAAGAACAGGCAAAATGAATCTATTGCTGGTGGGGTGGGGAGGGATTTATGGGAAAGGAATGAGGAATTTTCTGTATCTTGATTGTGGTGTGAGTTACGTGGGTGTATGTTTGTCACAATTCCTCCAATTATACACTTAAAGTCTGTGTATTTCACTGTAAATTTAGCAATAATTTTTTTAAAACGATAAAAAAGGGTATTGGGTTTTTTGAACAGCAGCACCAGTTGATGGAAGACAGTTTTTTGCCTTTGCAATACTGAGAGGAAGTCTACGAGTCTGTCAACCACACTGAATTAGTGTGAAGGTAGACTAAAGACGTATTCTGACGTTCAGGGTGTCAAATATGTGCTTCCTGTACTCCCTTTCTCAGGAAGCCACTGCAAGATCCGTGCAATTAAAATGAGGGCATGAACCAAGAAAGTATCCTGGGATGTGGGACACAGGGTCCAACTTGAGAGAGAGAGCTGAGGAGAATCTCCAGGATGATGTTGGAGAGAGGTCTCAAGATGACAGTTGTGCAATCAGTAGGCCTAGAAAGCCAGCCATTTCAGATTGGACCAGGCAGACGAACTGGAGAGATTTCTTCAAGAAGAAAAATTGATATACCTAATGTGTATAAACATTCTGAACATTTTATACAACTAGGAGAGAGTTTGGGTTTAATTAGTAATGAAAATTAAGCAGACGGAAAAAGAGAATCTTTTCAGGGGAGACAATGTACACAAAAAGTGAAATCATTTACATAGGATAATGTAAACATTGAAGAGTAATCTCACCAACTTGTGAGATAACTATAATGGGAAGATGGGAGGGAAGCGTGTGGTGGGGGCAAGAGATGGAAAACAATAAAATTCTTTCCACCTTGGAAAGTGAGTTAATAATGCCTAAAACAAACAAACAAAGAAACAAAAAACAACAAGAAGTAGCATCATTGTAAAAATGTTCCTTAGAGATAGAGACGTAAAAACAAAAAGGAACAACTGAAAAAAAAAATCTGATTGCATCTGGAGAGTGGGAAATGTGCACAGGAAAGGAGGACTTCTGTTTTTGGTAACCAGTTATGTAAAAATGATTTGACTCTACAGTATATGCGTGTTTAACTTGGATTAAAGAGCAAGACAGTAACAACATAAAAAACAGACAAAAGAATCATGTTGAGCTTGAAAAAAATTGGGGAGAATATAAACAAACATTCACTGTGAGTTTAGCTGGCTTATGAGATAGGTGGTTTCTTTTTTGTCCATCTGTTTTAAAAATTTTCTACCATGAACTTGGATTACGTTTGTAATCAGGAAGGGAAACGTAGAAATAAATGTTGGTTATTCTTATATTCAGTAGCAAGGCTAAGTTGAAGAAGTTAATATATTCATAAAGGCACTATTGATGTTCAAGGACTATCTTTAGGATGAGAAAATTCATTTTGGTAGAGTCAGTTGGCTCATACTAGTGAGGAGAAAGGAATATTTGAGATTCTTACAGAAATGATGTAGATATTAGAAGGTATATAGAAATGTATATAATCTCTCCATTTAGTCTTTAGAATATAGTTCATGACATTTCAGTAACTCCTTTGTAATTTAAAAAAAATTTCAGTTCAATAGCATAATAGTTTGTAATATTTAATGTACATTGTAGTATCACGTGTAATACTGTCATTTAAAGAAATACTTGAAAGCTTTACATTTTTAAACAAAAATACTGCATATACTGCCTTTATATTAAGCTTTCCCTTTTTCTTTTAACAGAAAAACAGGAAAAGGAAATTGACATCTATGCTAACCTCTCTGATGAAAAGGCTTTTGTGTTTTCAGTCGCCTTGGCAGAAATAAATAGAAAAATTATCAATCAAAGACTTATTCTCTGATATTTGTCTGCAGAACGTGTTGAAACTTTCTTCGGGATTGCATCAGCAGATTCTCAAACAGCTGTGGACTCTCAGGAGCATTCTGACGGCATTAGTAAGGGCCAGTGATGGTTTCCTCTGTCACGGAGCCTGTGCCACATTGGGAGCAAAGCTGTAGGCTTGGACTGTTCTGGGATTTCATTGATTCCCAAGGAGTATTGTCAGTTGTGTTTGGGATATAAGTGTATTTACAAAAAATAAAAAAGCTGGATGACTGTTAAACGTTAAAGGGGTAAGGATGGGAGCAGAAATATGAAAACTAGGGAAATAAAAAGCTTGATAATTTTCAGGTTTGCCACCAGAGATGCAATATTTTAAATACTTTGAGAAAGAATGACTTTTAAAAATATATATTTGAGATTTTCAGCATTAATGGATTGCATATATACAGTTCAGTTACTTTTAACAAATTGGCAATTGGTATTTTATTCAATGGGGAATTAATATAAATTGTAAATTTTGTCTTAAATTGATTTTTTCTTGGCCTTTATTTTTATGACATAAGGTATGAGTTATATTTTGGGAGATACTTTCTAGACAGTTTGGAAGTTTGGGTGCTATATTAAGAAAACATTTAAGGATATATGATACTTCAGATATAAACACCTTGTTTTCTTGAATGTAATTTATTTATTGGTTATTAAACAAAAACAAAAACACTTTTCTGCTCTCAAGATGGTGCCTGTTAACCTAAACATTAAATATATTTATTACATGCAAAATATTTCTTATCCACTTTTAAGCAGTAATGTTTTATCTGAATGGATGTTCATTTATACATCCTGATAATTATTTAAATTGTTACTTAACCTCTGAAAAAAAATAAACCTTAATATTTAAACTAATAGATTAGCGTTACAAGCTTTTTGTTCTAGTGAAGTTTGTGAAAATATTTAAATTCTTAACTTTTCTAGTATTAAATGATAACCATTTATAGTTGCTTTCTTTTATATTAAATGCTTTTATAGTTTTGCATAGTGACTTAATAGTTTTGCATATTGATTTAATTTTTGCATATACAAGAACTTTTCCTATTTTAAACCTAACCCCCTGGGCCAAATCTGTTTGGAAGTCCTAAAGCCTAATTAAGGAAGGTAGTCATTAGACTTAGCCTTAAGAGAATTTCTCTCCCAGTTGCAACAATAGCTTTGTCAGCTCTGTCCTGCATCTCCCAGCACCTCCCCAAAGAGGTTGACGGGTTTGTCCTGTTTTGTTTTTCCTACTTTATTTAAATGGTAGCCAGCAGAGGGAGCTTAAGAGGTACTTTAGCTAGGACGTAGAATTTTCCTAAGAATTCCTTTTCCGTCAACCCCCATATTTATCTGCAAATACTAGTACAATTTTCTTGTATGCATTTTAAGCCCTAGTAATAAAGTTTATTCCTGAGAATACTAATGTGATTTTATCTTTGAAATATAAGAAAACTATTTCTTTTTGAGAAAAAAAATCATAAAGATGGTTAATATCTAAAAATGCCATGAACAAATATATGTCCTTAGAGAAAGCAAGAACAGCTTGTTGACTAGGCATCTCTTTAAAGAATTATTGATGTCAGAGTCTATCCCTTTAAAGCTGAAGACCCTTCGAAGAAAGTCATGTTAAAATAGTCACTGGATAAGGGAGGAGAATGGTGACTAGGCTGGAGCTTGCCATGTAGAAAAGTAATTTATTTCAGATTGCTCATGATGTTAAATCATTGACTTATTTTAAAAGTTCTTTGACAAGGGGACAAATTAGCCTCCCCTATTTGTGGTGTAACCTAGTGAACCAATTTCTTTCCCTCTAGGTGACTAAGGCTCTGGAAAAGCCTTTTCCTGTAGGGAGTAGGCTTTTGTCTGAAAGGAGATCTGGGTGTATTTCAAAATGGTTGGTTAATTCTTCTCTCTGCCAGAGCTATGAGGGGATTTTTAGCTTGATTCTGAGCCGTGGAACCTGGTAGGATCCTAGGAGTACCTATGAAAGTTTGCCCTCTGTTCACCACGACTGCAGCCCCAGGCGTTTCTCACTCTCACACTAGTCCCTGCGGCGTCTAGCAGGTGTCAGAACCACCACCATGGAGGTGTTCCTGTCTCTTAGTGGCTTCAGAGGTTTCTGCTCCAAGTAAGAGACCATTCCTGCAATGCTCTGTATTGCACATCTCCAGATTTCACGGTGGCAGTTTGCCCCACAGCCTCAATTCTTTGATAGGTCCAAGAGGAGTCGTTGAGTTTTTAGTTTCTTTAGCTGTTTTCTTGTAAGAATGGGAGCAATGACAACTGAAACCGGAAGTCTCATTATAGACCATCATATCCACAAAATCTTGTCATAACAATACCTAGATGAATATTTAAAACTGGAGACTGTAGCCTAGTCAGGTGACACACAGAGCACAGTCTGCCCTTGTCTGGCTCCCCTTGCCCTCAAGCCCTTCTTACTCTCAGACAAAGGCGTCCTCCTGACACTGCCGTAGCTGCCCTTCATGCAGCTGAGAACATGCCCACAGAGCGTGCAGTCCTTGGGTCATCTCATTAAATCCTGTGACATACAGTTAACTGTGATGAATACCACCCATGTTAGAGGTGGTAAGGGGATAAAGGGGGGAAGGAAACAATGGCCCTATGCCTTCGGATGCCTGCCGTTGTGTACACTAAGGCAATTCTTTATAACAGGCCAAGGCAAGTCTCGGCTTCATTTGGTGTAGTCGTAACATTTGAGTCTGTGGGTCAGCTGACCAGCCAAATTATTAGATCCTTTCTAAACCTCTCGAGTTAAAAATTTAATTCAGAATCTCAATATATTCAGCCCGACCCAGCTTTATATTTCTACCATGATCCTACACCCTTAAGATCCATTCCCACATATAGCCCATATTTTACATCTGTTGTAATTGAAAAACTCACACAGGTCTTTTGGTGTGTGATGCACTTGTGTAGGTCGCACTTTGTAACTCATCCTTTCCTGAGAGTTCTTACCATGCCCTCATCTTTTTTTAAAATATGTCTCATTTGTTATTTTTTTAATTTATTGATTTTAGAGAGGGGAAGAGAGAGAGAGGAACGTTGGTTTTTGCTGTCCCACTTGTTCATGCATCATTGGTTGGTTCTTGTATGTGCCCTCACCAGGGGATCAAACCCACAACCTTGGTGTATCGGTAGGAAGCTCTAACCAACTGAGCTACCTGGCCAGGGTGCCTTCATCTTTCACTCCCAGCTTTGACTGCATCCCTAAACCACATCTTCATTTGAAGTTTGAAAGTTTCCAATGAATCTACCTTTGCTTACGTTACAGTTCTTGGTTGTTGAAAAACATAGTTCTGAGCTTTTTGTCTTACACTTCCTCATTTGTGGCTTTTTTAACCCTGTCCTTTTCAATTTATGGGCATTCATGGCCCTTCTCTCTAGCTTGAAGCTGAAAGACTGTCTCTAGACTCTCTCCCTTACCAGACCAGTTTTCAACTTTCTAGGATGGAGAACCCAGTTGTTTCAGATTGATCAGGAACCTACTCTTATGTCAGTTGGTCCTGATCAGGATCCTATAGTACAAACGTGGCTGCTGGAGTGTACTGATGTAGACTGTGTTAGGGACATTCTGGAAAAGGCAGAATGTTTACTAGCCAGGTACTCACCCAAGACATCGGGAAAAGTCCTGATGTCCTTGTAAACAAGATGGAGGGAGCTGGGTGCAACTGTAAGCAGTTGAACAGCAGGTGCAGAGAGGGCGGACCAGTGTTAGCATGGGGGCGGGCATTAGTGCTGAGCTGCAGGCCAGTCCCTCCTGCCCTGATGACTCAGATGGGTTACCCCTAGAGTTCAAGTGCCCAGAGGCCAGAGGATGTATGGTCCTGGCTCCCTTGGTGAGATCAGGCCACATCAACAAAGCGGTATCATTTGTTATTTCCTGGCCATTGGTTCCCCTTCCTGAGTATACCACCCCCAGTCTTGGGATGCTAAGTGCAAGAGCTCCCATGAGAGCTCCCCTGGGAATGTGTGTTGGGAAGATGGGGGGGTGGCTGGCTTCATCCATCTCTCCCCTCCCCTTCCAGCCTTTTTTCTCTTCTGAACCTCCATTTAGTGAGCACTGGACTTTGGAGTTTATCTGTTCTTTCATATTTTCTCTCCTTGTCCTGTGCGCTGGTAGATTTTTCTCTATTTTAGCTTAGGATTCTTCTTTAACATTTTGTTTCAATTATCCTATTATATATCTCTAATTGCTTCTCTGATCTCTGATTATTTTTTTTTTTTCAAATCAGCCTCTTCTGGTTCTATAAAATCTTTCTAAAATCTCCTAGAGCCAAGTTTTCTTCTATTTCCTGATCATCTTTGTTTCCACCAGAATTTTTTACATCTATATATCTTGGTCTTTCTTTCTCAAGCTGCTGGATCCCCTAATATATATATATATATTTTTTAAATATATCTTTATTGATTTCAGAGAGAGAGAGAGAGAGAAACATCAATGATGAGAGAGTCACTGATCGGCTGTCTAGCCCGCAACCCGGGCATGTGCCCTGACTGGGAAT